TCAGGAAAGGCGCCGCCGAAGCGCGGAGCGGGCGTTGCTAGTCGCTGAGGACTGGGGGAGTCGCCCTGGTGATGAATGGGGGAGCTGTTTCACTCACTCGTTCGTTTGCTGGTTGGTTTAGCTGTTCATGCCCCTGATGCGTACGCAGAAGGGCAGGACGTTATGCCCTGAATGAGGGGGTTTGGTTAGGTAGTAAAGACAGGGAAGGCCGCAAATCAAAGCTTGGCCGGGTGTAAGTAGAAATAATTTTGAAAGGGATTTTATAAAAAAGGGGACTTGCAGAAGGGGTCGGTATGGGTGCCTTCTGAAAGTTCTCGGAGAGGTGATCTGGTTTATTTATTAGTGTGGCTAGCCCTTAAAAAACCCCCCCGCTGAAAACGGAGTCTGGGTGATGTTTACACTGAATTAAATCTCTTCCTTTTACTCTCAGTTTTAAAGACAATTAAAATTATAACATTGAAACCATTCCAGCTCTCTATATTTTTGACATCTTAAAAAAAAAAAAAATCAGTCTCTTCCATGTTACATGCCAGGAAGAACAAGAGTTTGGAAAGATACATGGGGAAAAGTATGGATTTTGTAGCTTCTGAGACTCTTCTCCTTACTGGTAAAGTGTGACACTTTTAGGAAAACACAGATACAAGAGTACCTTGACTGCAACAGTCAGGGTCGGGTTACTCAGTTGGATCCCTAACAATTAATGTTGACAAAGAAGTGTCAGTGCTCTTAAGATACTGTCTCTCTCTTATTCCTTGCTTTTTGTTGTTTTGTTGTTATTTTTAAAGTGTTAGTATAATTACACAGCTAATATCTGTCATTATGTTCGGTAACTTCTTAAGGTGACCTATTGTTAATTCCTTTGTGTGACTACTACCAGAAAAAAAAAATCTGCTTCTGCGCTTGGAAACGTCAATCTGATTTGAATTGAACAGCGCTTCTTCTAGCCTCCTCGCCAAAAAGATTTGTAAGCAGTGCTTGAAGCACATAGATATTCAGCATCATATTTCCTAGCTGACTTTATGATAGAAGACTGTTGCCTGTGTTTCATGTGTTGGGAAAGTATGACAGTATGCAGCACACATACTGTAGCTACAGTTAGAGAACATACGCTCATGTTTGGTGATAACGGAAATTCCAGATAAGCATTTGCTCGTAGTAGACCATAATTATTGAGGGAAAAGGTATGGAAAGAAGCAGACAGCACGCTTGGTTGTACAAGCAATCTTCCAAAGGACACCTAAACTTGAAGTTGCTTGTAGAAGGATTTAGGCTAGTGGCTGTGGAAAGTGAATACGTTCAGCTTCCTCAGTCTCAGGCAGCCTTGCTGTGCTTTCTGCTCTGAATTATATGGATCCAGAATGAAAGAAAGCATGTTGTAGGTTGTTGTGCTTCACCATATGGAAAAAGTCATTTCCTGCTTGACAAAACTACAGCAAGAGAGCCCATCTGAAAGTTGGCAGGTCTTTCTTCTTTCCCTCTTCCCCCAAAAGGCAGCTATGATACCAGGCATGTTGTACTTAGCATTTGTGTAGCCATTAACCAAAGAAAGCATGATTCATCAAAATACTTGATGTAGAGCATTTAATTTTAGAAGCATCTGCCTCAACTAACTTCCCCCTCATCTTCCAGGCTGAAGTTAGTATAAACTATTATTTCTGAAGAAAAGGGGTTCAACTCGTTTGGGCACCCTCCAGTTCCATTTTAGTTCTTCCAACTGCACTGTTGAGCCTCAGAGGTTTTCCTGGCTCCTCATCTGATAGCTTCCTTCCCCCCACCCACCTCCCTTTCTGGCATTTAACCTGATTCTTGGACGTTTGCCCTGGCTCACTAATTGCTCCTTTTTGTACTACTGTTACAGAGCCACTGGGGCTGTTTCGGTTCAACTTTCTAGGCTTGAAAATGCCTTGCCTACAGAGCTTTATTATCATGCTGTCTCCTGATCTGACAGCTTCCTGAACTGTACAACTGCACATCTGTTTTGACAGAACAAGAGAAGAGGAAGATGTTTCCCCCTGACAGCTCTCTTCTCTTTTGTTTCTCTTGCTTCACTGGCGGGCACAAAGGGAAGGAATTTTTGCTATACCTTGCTAATTCCTCTATATCCAAGAATGTCACAAAGACTCTGTACTGTAAATTCACACCTTTCCTATCCCCTATTCCCATTGTAATTTCAGCCAGTCATGAGATAACTGTGCTAACTGTAAAGGAAGAAACCTATGTTTTCTTGTAACATTCTGATTCTTGAACAGTAGTTAAGAATTTGGGTACCTAAAAGCTTAAAATCCTTTTTATCAAAATGAAGCTATTCCATTCTAAACAAGGCCCATCACTCAACCTCTAAATTCACTATCTTCCCTCTCCAGCTCTTATAAAGTATCCAAACTATGCCCTATGTCTGCAGGGAAATAACCTCCTGCAGGATCTTAGCACTTGGTTGATTTTTTTTTTTTTTTAAATTTAAAATAACACATCTTTACTTCAATGCAGGACTGCCATGAAAACAAACGACAGCTTGCAAGAAAATCCCACGTGTACTCATAAGGATAAGGACTTTGCAGTGACTTATGGTGGCTTCAACTGTTTTAATTTGTTTAGCTATTGTAAAACTTTCCCCAAGTGAATTCATTACCATATTTTGGCTGAGTTCCAGAATTAGAGAAACAGTTTTACAAGCTCTCTTATCTAAACAGCCAAGATACTGCGGCAAGTGTTGGGATTTTTTGAGGGGTGGAGGCAGAGGTCCCTAGCAGGAGGCATTTTATATAAAGAATCTAGTTCTCATCTTCTGGGGTTTCATTAGCTTACTATTACTTTCTGCTTTAGGTAGAAACAAGTTAAATGCTTTTCTTGTACATGTGAGTCGGTACAGCTTCATGGAAGTTATTTGCCTACAAGAAGAAACTTCCACGTATCAGTTTGTTACATACCCAGCTGACAATTCTATTGTGTTTTATGAAGCAGCTGATACTACAGCTTTTTTTTCAAAAGATTACAACAGTACTTTTAGGGAGAGCTGAGTAAAGCCAAAAGTGAGGGAGGTGCATGAGGAGCATTAGATCAGTCCCTCTTCAGTGCTCTTGCATGATCTTACTGTAGTGCTCAGACCCAGAACTTAAATTCTCTAATTTGGCACCAGCATCAGTGATCTTAGACTAATAAAAACTGGCATACTCTGTGTTGATTAATTCATCACCTAGGATATCTCAAAAGAGGTGGCATGTGAAGAAGGTTCTCTCCTTCCTTTTTTTTTTTTTTTTTTTTTTTTTAAATGCCAAGTCACTTTGAGGCTTAGGTAACTGTTTGCTAATAGTCATGCTTCTGCAGTCTTTGTAAGACATAAGTGCTGCATGTACCACAGTCACCTAGCACTTGCTCAAAGGACAGTTAGACTGGTCCTGGCTGCTGTCTGTTTATCTTGGTGTAGGGTGTCATGAGCCAAGAAAGTAAAGTAGCCTGTATAACAAAAATTGATAATTGATACTGCAGCCTTTACAGGGTGAGTATGCTGGACTGCAAGCGTTCTTGCTGGCTGGCGCTTGCTCCAGAAGCTCCACGCTTCCAACGACAGAAGCGTTGCTCACCTTCCGTGTCAACTAATGTTGAAACCCATAGTGATCTAGATGTGCTTGCATAAGCATGGAAAATTAATCTCTTTTTCCTCATGTACTCTGGAGTACTTGGGAGAAGGCAAAATGAGAATGAATACTGAAAATGTTTTACCAGGCTGGAACTCTTATGTCAGTTGCACTTTCATTCCTGTGACCACTTTTACAAGCTGGTATAGAGGATATATTTACTGGTCTTGTATCTCTGGGCAATTGTTTCCCTCTTCCTCCACCTTTTCCCATACAACTTTTCTAACGCCAAGCTGATTTCTTGAACTTCTAGCCCAGGACTGTAAGTTTCTGAAGCATAAACATCTGTTACATTCTCAAAGCGTCTTTCAGTATGTTATCTGTGCTGGAAGGTTGTGACAAAAATAGACGAGCCGTGACAGGACCGTGGCCTTCTGTGGCCCCTGATGTCCTCCAGATTTGTTTCATGATCTGGTTGTTTTGCAGACCTAGAATGGCTGCAGCTCCACGCAGGACTCTCTGCAAATACCTCGAGTGAGCTGAGCGCCACTGTTTCTCTCTTTTGGTTATCTCATCCTCATTGCACCATTGCTAGTCACTAAGTTAATAGCTAAAGCTATGTAAACATAGAACTGTGAAGACAGTTCCTAAAGAAGATAGGTGCCAGGACTCCACAGCTGCACAAGATCTGCATTTGACCGTGAGACGGTAGAGTAAAAAGTAGCACGAAGAACTGAGGGTATTCTGAGAAGTCACAAAGTTTTATGAAAGATGTAGAAGCACAGGAATCAAGCTCCCTGATTCCCTGAGCAGTGTTTCTATACTGCAAAGCACAGAGATGGTGGATCACAAGACGCTTGTTGTCTGCCTTTGTCCACCATGCTCCCATGGTGAGAATGTATGTAACTACTAAAACCAGCTAATTACATGTCCACCATTAGCCTTGCAACGTTGGGTAAGACTTCTGAGTTAAGACAGGCTTGAGACTAAACCACCTTAATGGGTACTATGTCATCCACTTGATGAGCGGTATAGACCTTGCTATTCCCTGACTCCTACTCCTAGGGAAACCCAGCATCTCTTCTCTCTCTCTCTCTCTCTATCTGTTTTCATGTCATGGTCTAGGTCACATACATATTTTAATCTCTTCTAGGCTAATAGGGTCATTTAAACCCCACATGAAAGAATCTTTGTCCTCTTAGTTTGCTGAAGATTAAATGACTTCTTATCTGCATGTGGGCTTAGCAGCAGGAGACTGTTGCTTCACTGTCATTGCATGTGTCTAGACAGTCTCGGCCTTCTGGCTGAGGGCTCTTGGCAGGCTGCAGCCTTCAAGAGGAGCTTTCTCTTTCCCAACAAGCCTTCAAATGCTGATATTTCTTCATTTAAGCCTAACACCCATAGAAAATGGGGTTAACTGAGCAGAGAGAGAGAAATCTGGAAATAGAATTTGAGGCTGAATATAAATGTAACATGAATGGATTATTTTTGGAATATGCTATAAAGTATGAGCCATCTTTTAGGAAAGTAGATGGAAAAACAGCTCAGTAAGAGTTCACTTGTGTTAAGCATCTAATCTGATGCTAGTTGATGCCCCTGGATTCTCTTCATTTAGTTCAGCAGAAGATAGTTTAGCTACTTATCTCACAACAAATTCACTGCCTTTTCTCACTTTTGTCCTTCTTAATCCAGATGTTTCTGAAAAACACACAGAATTAAGGCCTTTTTTAAGAGATATTAAGTATTTGAGAGGTACTGAACAGCTCAGAGTTGGATGTCAAATAGCTAAACTTTTTTGTTAATGATAATGCCATGTAACTTAGTGTTAAACAGTTCTTGTGGAAGAAAGGCAACTGAGAGAGTTCAGTTAGCATTGTCCATCACCATTTCATAGGGAAGCCTGGCTTGTTTACCTGAAGGTAGTACATACAGTATTTCTTTTTCTTAGCCTTAAGAACTTTGTCACCAAGCTAAAGCTTTGTCGCCACCCTTTTATCTCCTGCTTCAAAGCAGCAAATTTTCAGTATAGCAATAACCTTTATGCTTGGCCTGTTAAAGATTTGTGCTTTTAAAAGAAATGAAAATGCAGTGCATCTTTTGAGTAGAGTTAAATCACAGTCACTGGCAAAGTCCTGTTCTGATAATGCTTTTAAGATGTATTTGCAAGCATGGGAACCTGTTTGTTGGTGATTTTGTGACTGTAAGGCTAGCGTTGGCTGCTCTGAGTGATGCCTACGTCAAATACGCTGGCACTTTTCCACCAGTATCTTCCGTTTAGAAATTCTGATGCTGTTTTGCAACAAGCTTCCCTCCATGTAGCAAACATAGTTTATGATTTTTATTTGTGTGCGTATATATGTGTGTATATATATACTGGTTGCTGGAGTCAAGTGTGTAACCAGATTTTTGTTTGTGTCTTTTTTTTTTTTTCTTTCCCCTATGAAGTGTATTGCATGAGGCAGAATTTCTTTTAAATTGCTTCTTTAATATTGGTGAACAAAAGTTTGTTTATTTGGCTTCTTTCTGGAAGAAAGCTTTGTTGTGTGCTGAAAACAAAAGCTGATCAGATATGGAACTCTCCTAATCCATGCGGATGATAAATAGCCTTGAGGCTTTTTTCCTCTAAAGTTTCCACTTACAATTTCTCTTTGTGGATATAGAAGGTGCACAGAATTTTAGGTGAAGAGGTGTTTACTTCCGACATTGTCTAGAGTTAATCTCAAGTACAGGAAAATAATGAACTGGCAGTGTCAGGTCCAGAACGATGATACTCTTTGCTCACCTCCAGATTTAGAAATGGTTCATGGCTCTTTTGCATGTCCTGCAGATGGACCTACATCACAGTCCTTGAATCTACAAGGAATATTTGGACTTTGCGTGGCCTGCTTCTTACCAATAGAAGGTTTTCTGTTGTTTTTCACTGCAGCACCGTGTCTGATGGTTAATAGGAGCTCATTTAAGCTAACCATACCTGTACAGTTAGCGGACCTGTAGTCCGTCCCAGTTTATTACTGGCATCTGTCTTGTACTAAGCTTTTTTTCCCTGCTCTCCAGCAAGTAATCCTTGTGAACAGTGTGAAGCTGTCCCAGTTGCTGTAGCAGATGAGTCAGCCAGAGCCTTCTGACAAGAAGTCAGAACTGTCTTTAAACTCCTTAGGTAAAATCAACTGACAACTATGCTAACGTGTCTGGAGCTTTAAAGCTATGTGACAGCACGTAGGAGGGTTGCGCTCTTTGCTGGACTTCACTTCTGTTCTCTATTGCTGTGGTTAGTTGTGTACTATTTCATCCAGACCTCACGTAGACAGAAAGATTACAGTCCCACGTCAAGTTTGTGAGAGTTAGTCTAGTGGTCAGGCTTACTGAACGAAGAGTTCCAATCTCCGTTTCCTCCTTGACTATGATTCCTGTCGTGGGTACTTCAGAAATGGGGTGCAAATTCCATGAATTTTGAATGCGAAGGATACAGTCCTAAAATGATTTTGAAATAATTTGACAGCACACCTGCTGTAAGATATCCCACCTAAGTTATAAGACGTTCCCATGTGATCAGCAGTGCTCCACAGTGCAAATACAGATAGGTGTTAGAACAGCAAGTAAAAGGCAGACTTTACTCGCTTTGTTTCCCTTAAATAGTAATAAATCTGAGTGTCTGTTTCTTAGCAGTGAGAGAACCTAGTGTCACCTTTGTTTGTGCTCTTGGCAATATTGCCTGTGTCACACTTTCTTTTTGGTCAGAATGCGTGGTCCAACAGGGCCCAGGCTTTTCATTTTACATAGACTCTGATCTGCCCAGTTCTTCTGGTTTCAAAAGTATTTTTGTCTATCCTCACCTGAGATACTAAGCTCTTGACCATTCTTCTGCAGTAGTATGACTGAAGCCGTTGATCAGTTGTGGAACTTGGCTGTGCATTCCCAGAATGCTACTGCTTGGATTTGGATTGTGATTTTACTCTTAACATTGTGTTGTTCTTTAAAGAGCACCGCATACTTATTTCAGACTGATCATTAAAGTGCATAATGATGCATCTCGTCAGGTCCAGCTGTGACTTGGACCGATATATGCGTAGCTGTTTTGTTGTCATGTGACTACCTAGGTCCACAGAGACTCCCAGTCTGCAGAGGGCAAGAAGCAGGACTTCCCCTAAGGACCCTGCTCTAGTTAATTCTATTCCTGTGTGTGTGGCTGTGGCAGAAATTTGGGAATAAAGTATGTTTCAAAGTTATTTGTAGAGAAACTGTTTCAGGAGGTTTACATCAGGTTAAGCCTTCATATATTTCATAGGTTAAACTGCAATACTAATTGGTAATACTTCTCTCGGAGAATTTGCTTTCCATCAGTCTTGTATATGTCACTGATTACACTTTAAGTAGTGCTATCACTTATTAACTGTTTCTGTGATGGCGGTTGTTAGTTTTCAGCAGTGGAGCGTAATTCCATCTGTATAACACTCCTGAGCAAATTGGGCTGCTTTTCTGATTTTTACACTCATTCTTCAATTTTATTTCAGGACATAACTTGGCAAGATGAACACTCAGCTCCTTTCTCCTGGGAAACAAAGGTAAATATGCAGTAGTTCTATTTTTAATGTTGGCTTGCCGTTTGGTCCTGTTTCTTGTACTTTTATATTACCTTCATTTTGAGATTTGATACACTAATGTCACCTTTATTCTATGAGAGCCTTGTAAAGTAACCGTACTGCAAATGAAACTTGCCTGGTATGCTTTGATTTTTACATCAGCAGAAACACAAAAAACACAGAAGGTACTTTATGAACCAGTGCTCCAACAGCAAGTGCAGATGTAAAACTGGTTTGCTCCAAACTAAATATTTTTCACTGTAAGCTTTCTAAACAGTTTTCTGTGTTTAGTGAGGAAAGGAAGTTTAATCTTAAATGCGTATCAGGTATTGTATAAGCATAATTGAATTTCACTTCTGAAGTCAGGATGAAATAGTTATGGGATGGGGTGAGAAAGGTAGAGGTGTCTAGATACTTCTTTGGATTTTTTTTTAAGCCTATCTTACACTTCATCTTCTTGTTATGTATTAGAATGTAAGGAAACCTGCTAAATGTGGGCTATGCTAGAAGCATTGTACTCTTTCCTTTCCAAAGAGCAGCTTCCTCAAAAATAATGTGCTTTTTCTGTGCAGTGTTTTTTTTGTCTTGTTTTGTTTTCTGCTTTACTTCATCTCTGATGTTTTGTTAAAGCATTACTTACAACGAGATTCTCATAAATGTAAAATAAAGCCAGAATTCCTCATCTTTGTGAAGCTGCAGTGTGAGGAAACAGTCATACCATGTTTTGATGGTGAATCGAGTATAATCCTTCTTGTCAAAGAAAGCATGGAGACAAAAACACAGCTCAGTGCCTCTCTCAAGTAGGAATGTTAATTTAATCACAGTTTCAGGCTTCTGGTTTTCTGATTTCATCTGCCAGTGAAAGTCTCTTCCCCCTCCCCCACCCCCAGCCCCTGCCTTGAACTGTGTAGATATCATGTGTGAGCTTATGAATATAATCTAGCCTTAATGCAAAGTAGTTGTCTGGAAATGCCAGTCAATACTGACTTAATCCAGTTGACCCAACCCTAAAAGTGTTGTCAGCTTCTTGTGGTCAAGGTCACTGCGTGTGCACCCCAGTCGCGGTGGGCAGATGCTGATTAACCAACCCATAACTTGATCTTGGCTCCTGGATCCTTACAGCGTACAGTGCAGTGGTTTGAAAGGAACCATTGCCAAACCTAATTTGCCTTAAAACTCTTATAAGCTGTGGTAGTTCAGGTACCAATGGAGTAGTGGAGGGGTCCTTGCCATGGGGACTGGATACATAACTGGGCTTGACAGCCTCTTCAGGCTAAGTCAGGCCCTTCCATCTTGTCAATCAGGACCCTTAGAAGAAGCCTTGGGTTTTAGTATAATACTAGAGAGGCTTTTAGTGTGGGTGTACTGAAGTGCAGCTGTCAAGAAAAGAATAGGAGTGAGAAGAGCCCCCCAGCCCCTGCCTTGAACTGTGTAGATATCATGTGTGAGCTTATGAATATAATCTAGCCTTAATGCAAAGTAGTTGTCTGGAAATGCCAGTCAATACTGACTTAATCCAGTTGACCCAACCCTAAAAGTGTTGTCAGCTTCTTGTGGTCAAGGTCACTGCGTGTGCACCCCAGTCGCGGTGGGCAGATGCTGATTAACCAACCCATAACTTGATCTTGGCTCCTGGATCCTTACAGCGTACAGTGCAGTGGTTTGAAAGGAACCATTGCCAAACCTAATTTGCCTTAAAACTCTTATAAGCTGTGGTAGTTCAGGTACCAATGGAGTAGTGGAGGGGTCCTTGCCATGGGGACTGGATACATAACTGGGCTTGACAGCCTCTTCAGGCTAAGTCAGGCCCTTCCATCTTGTCAATCAGGACCCTTAGAAGAAGCCTTGGGTTTTAGTATAATACTAGAGAGGCTTTTAGTGTGGGTGTACTGAAGTGCAGCTGTCAAGAAAAGAATAGGAGTGAGAAGAGCGTGGAACTCATTGGCAATAAGGTGAACTAAATCACATGTTGGAGTCAGCTAAGTTACATAGCTGTCTCCCATACTTCTTGGTGCAAAACTCAGTCTCAGGAACAGTGCAGCTGTAATCATATATCTAAGCTCTACCTTGTATGATTTAATACCTTCCGAATACTTGAACTTCCTGGAGATAGTTCTTTCTTTAATACACTGTCTAGTGATCTGTGATGTGATACATCTACAGCCAGATGGACTTTAACTGGTAGCAGTCTTTTCTAAATGCTTGCATGTCTACTGAAGTTCTCTCCAGCCCAAACTGTGGCTTACTGCTTGCTGATTAAGAATATTTTTACCGTCCTCCTAGCATCTCAAAATGAAGGACTGCAATGAGCAAGATGCTCCTGTTTCATGTTTTCCTTTAATGGATGGAAAACTGCAGAATGATATGGAACCACTCCTATGAGTGCTGCAGAAAAGTGAGGAGAAGAGTTACTTTGGTAATAATTGCTTGCCTCACCTAATCAAGTTGTGCTTTTCTCTTCCCCTCTTCCTCTTTGCTGATCAGAGATAAAAGCTGTGCCTCAGCTCTGGAGTGAAAACTTGAATCACCTTTTCCTCGCATAGACCTTTAGAGAATCCATTCCGTCTGGCCTTGTGAGGTGTGGGTTGGTTGGTTTGTGTGGGTTCTTTCTCTTGTTTTTTTTTCTCAGTGCCTCCCATTGTTCCAGTCATCTTGCAGCTGAATCCTCCAACTGCTGACTCTTCCCATTCTTAAGGTTTATATCTTGTTCCATGCTTGCTCTTTCATCTCTTCCCGGAGCAGTACTTTAATAAGACGATACTGGAATGCAATTTCTCCATGAGTTATTGGCTGAATAAAAAAAATCCTTGCAAAAAAAATAGGGAAACAGTGAAGAGCACTTGAGTAGGCTTGTTTCTTATAAAGCTGATATCTTATAATACATGTCCAGCATGTTGAGAGCCAGATCTGTTCCCTCTGTTTTTTGAAGCTGTCAGCCTCTCGTTAGCTGTACCTCATGATGTGTTATTCTTTTCATGATATTCTCTTCCCCAATAACTTTTTCATGCAGAGTTGTGGGTGTTTTTCTTTTCTCTTCTCTCTCTTTTTTTTTTTTTTTGATGTGTTATTGCTGTTATGAGGGAATTCTATTATTTTGCTGCTTCATGTGAATGTGCATAGGCTTACCTAAGGCAGAGAATGTGAATGTGACACTTGAAGCTTCTACTTTTGCAGAGAAGGAGAAAGAGTAAAACTAGTAGGCCTGACTTTTTTTTTTTTTTTCAAATCATTCAGACTGTGAGAAAACTATAAAGTAGGAAAACAATATTTGTCTGTAACTTATATTAGGAAAACTGAGAGGCTAGTCAGAAGGCTGAAGAAGAGAGGACCGTATGCTCACTACGTATTGGAGCCTCTCAGCTATTAACAATGACAACAATGTTGATTCCAGTTGATTAGGTATGGTAGTGATTTTAAAAATCTGACTCCTTGAAACTTTTATAGATAATGATTTGGAAAGTTCAGAACCTTATGAATGCACTGCTAGATTTCTTTGCGTTCTACCTGTTATAAAAAGAGCTGAGGAGTTCTTGTAGATAGTAGCATGGAGTTTACCAAAATAGACGCCTTAAACCATATTTAAGTATGCTCAAAAAAACAGAGTACTGTCCCTTTTTTAGAGACCTGTGGTACAGACACTTCCTGTGGATGTCAAGCCACTTTCTGAAATGCATACATACAGGTTTTGGGATGGCTTTTCTTTGTTTGTTTTTTGAAATTCCTTGATCCCTGGGAACTTAAAGATCTACTTTTCAGATGACTGTAACATCTATATAAGGATGTTCCCTGGGTACCCACTATAGATATCTTCCAGGGAACGCTTCTCCCTCTCAAAAATCCCCATTATGCTTGTGGGTTATTGTTAGGACAGTTTATTCTGATGGCCATAGCTGGAAATGAGCCTTATTATTGATGAAAAATTGGGGGTACTGGACAAACTGAATTAGAAAAATCTTCAATGCTAAGAGGCATTACTTCACAGCAACCAGTGCAATGAATTCCCCAATTCCATGGCTGTCAAACTTACTCAGAAAAGTGTGTAAAAAAACCTTTCTGTATTCTCAATTTAAACACAAATGTGAGATAAGGATTAAGTAGTTCAGAATGTGGCAAACGCACAGATATTTCCACAGTTTTTAGCTGTTTGATGTGTGTTTACTTTAAAATTCTTGTCCTAGCTCTGCTTTTAAACACTAAAACAAAGCAAACAAAGCAAAAGTACAATGTAAATTGTTGAGCTAGCTGTTAGTATTTGAAAGACCTAATGTTTTAAATAGAAAACTGTAGAACTTCTTAAAAGGAATGTTACTAGGAAACCAACAAGTTCTCATGCCACTGCAAGGAAACTGACACTTAAACCTAGTGATTGACTTGGATGGAGTGGTTTGGTTCATGGGTGGCGCTCTGGTAAATATAATGCATCTTGAAATGTGTGTTATGTTGTTTAACTGGAGCTGAAGCCAAGTTTGTGAATTTAGGGCACTCTATTTATGGCTTCAGGTTTAAGTGAGATGAAAGCTGATGTTTTGGCTGAGTTTAGCCTTTGAAGTTTTTTGGTTTGTTTGAACTAAAAATTCAGTGACACTTAGCACAAACCCTAAGATATAAATGGAAGCAAAGATCATGGCTGTTTTTACAAACTAAATTTCTTTGTAACTCTTCCTGAACTCGGAACTTTCTGGTTGTTTTTAATTAACTTAGGGGACAGAAATTATCGTAACTTCAATCTGCAACCTCAGTGAACACTCTGAATGTGCACAGCAGGGTGGGAATAAGCTGGAATTCTATTTCCAATTCCTGCTATTAATTAAAACAAGTTATATTCCAAAAACTTTAAAATTGACACAGACATGTCTAAAGATGTGTTGGTCTGGTTACAGGTAGAGCAGTTGTGAAGGTATGTTTAGAGAGTCTTCTGTGTTCCTTATTTTTCCACCTTTGCTTCTCTCCTACTTATAATAGGCTCTCAGAAGTTTTTTGAGAAGTGAAGCCTTCCAGGTGTGTTTTAAAAAGGGGAGGAGGGAAAAAAACCGCTTCATGCTTAAAACTCATTCAGTACTCTGGTTCTTGCCTTCCTATTTGTGTTTCTACAGAAGCGACCTAATCCCAGCCAAAATTTATAAAGAAAAACAGCCAAATTATGTTGGACTTGAAAACTTTATGTGCAAACTGTATTTCATATATCCAAGGGCTAAAAGTCTTCGGTTTTGTTCTCTGCACAAGTCATGAAAATATGAAAATGGCGGAAACAAGAATTTTTTTTTCCCCTGCTTCCTTAACATTCTTCTGGTATTAGAATTGTTTGTTACAAACTATAATCCGATATCATTATTTTTATGAAGCTGGCATAAATAGCAGTGCTTCCTTGGAAGGAAGGAAAAGTGATGCCTCAGGTTGTGGGTTTTTCCTTTCCCCTTTTGATCTAGACTACAATATCTTAAATAGTGCTGTCAGGCTACTGTTGGCTCCCAGTTTTTGAACAAATAATAAGTTGTGGTGATAGTACTCGTGTTCAAGGTTCATTTTAATCTGCATGGCCAGGTATTCTTGGCCACAGCTTCATTTGCCGGCATCAGTCTTTGGAGAGCTGACTTTGAGCAGAAAATCATGCACATACCAGATACAGACAGTATGAATTTGCTCAGGCTAACCCGTAAGAGTGACAAACTCATGTCCAGAACTAGAATGTTGTTCATATCACAAAACAGTAAATCATGAAACTTCCTCTGAAGCTACACGGTTTTTTGCATCTTTTGCACCATCGTTGTGTATAGACCAAAATTACTTTGTTTTGAGGAGTTTGCTCTAATTTTGTCCTTGCAATTAATTGGTCTCTGCTGACCTAAGGATTTCTTCCTGATTCTTGTTGAGATCACTGTGTACATAGGAAACACAGCAAGAACTGCAACTACTTTGGGTCCCATATTTATTTTGCTTTTGTCCATTCAGCAAACCAAAGACATCTTCTAAATCATTCTTTTAACTTGGCTTTCTTACCTCTGTGTGTATCAGGCTATGCTTAAAACAAGCTATTTTTGCCAGTGTTTCTGCAGTCTTTGTCTCAACAATTTAGATTTTTTTGAGGCTGCCAAGCAAAACAATTTGTTTTGGCTGTGCTTGCTTGTCTGTTTAGTAAAATACTACACATTCCTGATGAGTGAATAAGATTCTTAAAAAAATGTTCCTAGGTTCTTTGTGGTCATCTTGGTTTTAGTATAGAGCTTATGAACTGAGACCTGATTTTATACATTATTAGAACCATTAGGTTCTTAAAGTCGGTGGTGCCTCTCTCTTAGAAAACATTGTTTGCTGTGAATAGATAGTAGTGTAGATAATATATAATACAGATAGTGTTATAATTTGGTGTATTATCCCTCCCTGAAGACTTAAACTAGGTCTAAACTTCAAGTCCAATAAATAAGATTCATAAGTAAAATTCATAAACACCCTACTTAGTATGTTTTTTTTTTTTAAGAAAAGATGGAATATTTCAAACAAGTTCTTAAACACTACAGTTTGAATATTACATCTATTTTATTGATGAGAGAAGTGAGCCAAGGCCTAGGCTCACCTTTGTTTTAACCCCTGCAGTGGTTTGGAACCAGAAGGGTAGCACTGAAAAAAACCTCGAGATGCTGGGTTTGCTCTGCCTGAAAACACTGTTTTGCTCTATTTTTACATCTTTCTTGTATTCATTTAATTTTTTTTAAACTAGTTAAGAATGACTTGAGTTGTTAGAGGTAATACTGAAAGTACTGCTGCTGTTAATAGCTTTTAGTGTAATTTTGGTAACTTCTAGAAATTGCAGTTGGGATTGCACTAACCTGTGTATAAACTTACAAGATATTTTCTGGGATGAAATGCAGTTTAGACAAATACTGTTAGAAAATAAGTATTTGTCTTTCATTCCTTAGATGGGGAATTAAAGTACAAATTTGCAGCTTATTCAGAGTCATACAAAATCTGTGAAAGAAGCTGAGGACTGAAATCCCATCTCTGAAATCCAGTCTGATGTAAGAAAGGGAGAGCAGCACAGTACTTAAACCTGCATTTCTGGTCTTTGCATAGAACATTATATTCATTAGAGCATACAGTAGTAGTCTTACGTTTTAGATTTCAGCACAGGATGTTTCATGTATGGGTCTTCTGTCTGCACATGAAATTATCTTCCTACATATCCTGCTACTCTTCTGTCTGCCCATGAAATTATCTTCCTACCTATCCTGCTGCTTTTTTTTTAATGTGTTTTATTGCCAATTCTGTGACTGGAAAGATATTGCATATTAACTATTTTCTTTCATCAGCTAGATCTCTTAGGGGTTCAGACATCTTTAGTAACCTTGAAGGTCAAATGGAAGTATTATATATTTCAAGGGAATGCGCTGAAATGGCTTGACTTTTGTTACCTTTTAATTCCAGGACATTTTAAAAATTAGAATAACTCGCAACTGTTCTGCAGAACTTCTCGGCTTGATCTAAATTCTGGAAGTGGAATTATACCTCTGACCTCTGGGGGCTGTATTTACATAATGCTGAGACTTTGTGCTTTCAGAATGTACATGTAGTCATGTCTTGCCTGCCGCCTTTGGGGGAGAAAGCAAACTCCTCAAGAAGTATTTTCATTGAAATTATTCAGTGTGAAGTGTCTCGTTAAGAACTGCTTGATCCCCAAAGCATAGGGTGACACTAGTACCTGATCCTGAATGTCAAGTGACCCTGTCTTCTGAAACTGACAGGTGAAGTCATACATAGCTGTGCGCTGAAGAGGATATTGGAGATTGCCTGAGACAGATTAGGATAACGCTTTTCATTTCAAAACTAGATGAAGTAGATTTAGTTTAGATGGAACAGGTATACTGCAAACTGATTTAATGAATATTGAAAGACTTTTTCCACAACTAAAAGAAGAAAATTTCCAAGAACTGAGAGCAAAAATACAGAAGCTGTATCCACACTGAAGAGCAAGTATTTCTCCTCCTCAAACCAAAATTCTCGTTATGGTTTGATTTTTAATCTGAATGCTTAAACTACTCAAACTGTAGTCCCATTTTGGTACGTTATTCCCAAAGATCAGTTGGGGGTTAGGATGACTGCTTCTTCCGCAGTCCTGTGGGAATACAAAAACGCGTGCCACTTCCCTCTGTACCCCAAGGTATCCATTCTGTAAGGACAACGAGTGCATCTTCTTGAGAACATGCACTGACAGGTGGGTTGGAAAGGGTAAAACTGCCTTAAGTTGTGCTGTAGTGCCACTCATCTTGGCACCAGAAGCAGTTTGCTGCTTTCAGACCAGACCTCTAAGTTGACATTTGGACCCATGTGAAAGAACTGAAAACATGACCACAGGAAGTGGCTTTTGCTCCACAGCACAAGAATTTTCCATGAGGCATGCCTTTATTTGTGTATCTTGCTGCTGTTGAAAGACAGTCATCTTGTTGGGTTTGGTGGATTTTTCTCATTTTGTTTTAACAGACCCGTGCTTTCCCTTCCATCAATGCGTAGCCTCAGATTTTCTTTCTGACACTATTCCTGTAGTATTGGGCCCTTAACGGTACCTTCATCGCCTGGGCAGTTACCTCCCCTCGTTCTTGAGCTGAGGTGGGAAGGAATCATTTCAATGAAACTAACTGCTGCTGTGATGGTGTTAGCTATTGCCATCTGTAGTGTCAGCAGCAGGACAGGATGTTCAATAGAAGGAAGACTTAAGGATAGAAAGTAGCACTGTTTTAATTCCTACATACGAGGTACTTAACGAGGTACTTACGTCTTCCAAGATGCATAAAGTCCTTTATATAAATGGCCTTTCTATATGTACTGGTCTGTTGTTGTTGTTGTTGTTTTCTTTTTTTAAGCTGGGATTTTATCAATTCTGAAGTCTTAAAGCATCTTAACTTCAGGGTGGTAAATCTCTATTTGATAGCATTGCCAAGTGAGCTTAGGGAAATAAATCTGTATATTTTAATACAGGAAATGACTATCACTGTGAATAATCCTCAGCACCATTTCATAGCTCATTTATGTAGACTTGAGCTAAGGAAAAAATCTCCTGCTCTTAACTTGATCATGATTTTTTGGGATGAAGGGGGAATTTTCTGAAACACTCAATTTCTGTTCTTATTTTGGGATAAAATCTACTTGTTTATCCATTATATCCTTTTTTTTTTTTTTATCTTCAAGTTAGATGGAGTTGTAACACATAGTTACAGACTTAGAAGAGGCGGTTTTCAGCCCACTAATTCAACTACACTATAAAGCTGGGAAGTGTCTGGTCGTTGGCAAAGGTGTTATCTCTGTGCATGGAGATCAGAAGTTCAAATTGTTTCTTTGTATTTGAAATACTATTTTTCTTTAAATCTGAACAGAGTCAGATGGAGTTCAGTGTTGCATCTCTGTCCATACAAGAACAAAGTGGTACCCAGTTGCAAAATGAGCAGAGGCAGCCAGTTAAAGCAGCACCTGGCGTCCAAGTCCCTAAATCTTCTCAGGCTAATAAGACCCCGGGCTCTGATGGGCTAATAGCATCCAGAAAGGAAGAGGAGTCCTCTTTCTGGAAGATAAATGCAGAGCGCTCAAAGTTTGAAGGAGACAAATCTGAGTTCCAGTCCCTGACCCCTAGCCAGATCAAGTCCATGGAGAAAGGAGAGAAACCCCTTCCCTCTTTCTACAGACAAGAGTCTACTCCAAAGGAGATGGCAAAAGCAGAGAAGCCCAGCATAACTAAACCAGAGAAGTCTGTCACCCCCAGTCTTCCTTCTGCATCTCTAGAATGGGAGAAACCTCGACCCAGTCAACTCCCTTCCAGTTCTCTAGATGACTTCTTTCTTCCTGACCCACCACAAGACCTGGCACCTGCTAGGACAACTAGTGAAGATCCTGATGGTATTACACTTACAGAGCCACAAATTCCTGGACAGGTAAGGACTACTAAATTCACTATTCTTAAATTTAAAGAGCATTTAGCACATCAAAATCTGAAAAGGTCGCTCTGGAAGATTGGGGATTCCACAAAGCGTTAAGCTATAGCTAAGCTTGCTGGCTTTTTACCCTGCAGATTTAGATGAGTCTTTCATCAACATGTTAACTCCTATTGTCTTTCTATTGAGTATTTTTTCAGGATAGTAATGTTTGTAGGATAAAGGCATCATTTAAATATAATACCAGAAACACTGATGGGGCATGCAGTGTCTTGTTGACAGAAAGCTACCTAACAGTTTAGAGTAGAGAATTTACCATATCAAATAAAAACAATTAAATACTTTTTCTTTTGAAATGGCAAAACACTTATTGAAAAAGCTTAACTTAAAAAGTTAGATAAACTAGAATCTAGGATACTTCCTTGGAGCAGATAGTCAGCCTAGCAGTGAATTGTGAACTTGTTTCTCAGCTGTTTAAAGCGGTAGCACAGCAGCCACTTCCAGTGCTTTCTCCCAAGCATCTGGCCTATTTTCAAATATGTTTTCTTTTAAAGTCCAAAATGGAAATGGAATGAGCTTCCAGAGTTAGCGCCCCCCCCCCCTTTTTTTTTTTTTTTTTGCTACCGCCGTCTTGGAATGTCTTATTAATCTTGTTGAAAAGGGGGGAAAAAATTCTCAACCTACTCTTAAAAAAAAAAAAAAAATTGTAAAAGTGCTTCAGTGCACAGAGCTGCATAGTGGTGTGGTGATTTTGTTGTTGTTGTTTTAAACTCCCTTATTTTCATATCAGTGATTGTTTAAATTCCAAACCAGATGGTCAGAAAGATGCAGTGTGAAATTAAACACTTGACAGTGATGTAAATGCCAACAATAATGGGTGATTGTTACTTAAGCCATTTCAATATTTGGAGCCCTAGGTTTACTTATTTTTTTGAAGCTAAGAAATTAAGTTTCTTTAACGATCTTGTGGCAAATTATGCCTGTAGTAGTTATTTAATTTGTAGCTAAAGGTATTGTCATGATTATTTACAAATGAATGGTTTGTTGCAGTTTTAATTCCAGTGTGAATGTTTTCCAGCTCATTGAAATAGTTTGAAAAGCCTGTTTGTGTTTTTTGTTTTTTGCTTTTTTTTTTCCCTCCATGCAGAAACATTCCTCCAATATCAAAATGTAAAAAGAGTAGCAGAGAAGGTAGTATGAGAGAATTTTCCTCCTTTTCTGGGAAGAGAATCCAGAGACTCAGGCATCTACTCTGAATAGTCTTCCTGAACATTAAAATCACTTTAAGTCTCATGGCAAAAAGTGAAGTGCTGCGGGAATAAGCGTGTTCTTGATAGCCAAGTCAATAATTTGTCAATGAAGTTTAAGAGACGTAATTTTCTGAAAACAGCTGACTGTCATTGTACCAGGCAGTCTGTCTGAATTAGTAATGCTAATTCTCTATTTTTGTTCCCCCCTCCGCAATTCCTACTCCAGTCTAAAAGGAAATCTTTATGGGTTATTCCAAGGGAATAAAGTACCTTTTGCCTGCAGACCACTACAATAACTTTTAAATGGAATTGCCTTTTTTGGTCGCTATGAGAATTTCCCCATGGCTAGTGTTTTTTGGCGTAGGTCCTTAGGTGTCTTAGAGCAAGGTGAAGAACTTGAAATATTGGTGGACAACATTTTAAGCTTTCTTTTGTAGATAGGCGATCATGTACTGAGTTTGTAATCGATAATTAACAGTCACGCCTTCAATATTTTTTGTCTCTTGCAGAGTAATACAAGCAATGTTATCTTGAAGACTGGCTTTGATTTTCTAGACAACTGGTAAAAGATGCTTCAAAATAGTTGAAACCAATTTTGGGGAAGGAATGGAGCATCCTCCTCCTTGTATGTTAATGTATTAGCATCTGTGTCTTTTTCTAGAAGTAACTTTCAAAATCTTAAATGTTGCCTTTGTATAAACTTTTGTAATACCAGATGCGGTTTTGGTTTTTAAACAGTGATAGAAGTGTGGTCTCACTAGGATTTTTTAAAAAAAAAAAATCTGTTAAATTTTTTTGTAGTTATTGCAATGAGAAGATGGGGAAGTTACCATATATATGTTAAAGATAAACAGATGAGACTCTCGACATCCTTGAAACGGAACCTACAGGAACAAGTTGCTATTTTCAGTTGATAGTTTGCTAGCGTGGCACAGAACGCGCAATGGTTCCAAATAAACAATTCCGTACTTCAGATAACTATAAAAAAAGGTGTGAAAAATCAGCATACAGAGCAGTTTCATTAATTTCTATACTTCATTTAGTTTGAGTGTAACTTTTGTACCACTTATTTGCAAACGCTCCTCTTTTGAAGAGGACCAAGGCATTGCCAAAATGACAGATCCAAAGAAGCACTGTATTTGTACCCTACATATCTGCTAAAATAACCAGAAAGGTATTAGGGAAGTGACCCTGCGGGGGGAGGGGGGAAGCTTCTGGTCTTTGGATTAAACATTGAACAGGAAAAGAAGTGGGGGGGAAGACCTTAATGGTTGGGAGAAACTGTCTTCAGGGAACACAAGCCTAAAGATTTCACTGCCTCCTTGCTAGAGCATAACTTTTCATAATCGTAGTGCTGGAAGGGCAGCACTGGTAATTGCTGGAGTGTAGCAATGTGTTTCAGGAAACCACTGTGTTCATGGCAGGTCCTAGTAGTATAAGGCTTCTTTGTTTTTTAAGCAGCTTATGGTGTGAAGGACTCATGAACTTTGGTGCTTTTTCTCCTTGTGGGTACATTCTATTCAGGATTCAGGAGGTGGGTTACGATTGTTCCCAAGATGCAGAGTAGCATCTCTGGGTGGCCCTCAGCCAGCTTGCCTCCAGTTCTACTCTCGAATGATCCATGCTTGGTGTTCTAAATGTAGAGAGCAAGACTAGATGTCCTTGGAATCTGCCATCTCTGAAATGCAGCATGATTTACAAACTGTCTCTCACTGTGTTTACCTCACCTTGAAGCCTTAATTCCCCCTACGCACAACCAGTGAATGGTCTACTCCAATGCCAAAGGTTTGACCTTTCCCTTTACCTCAGCAATAGTCCCATAGCATTTGTTTGGGGTAGACGGCAAAACACAGGGCTCTAAATGGGTCTAATGGGCTCAAGCCAAAGCTATAAGGTCACCATCTACTTAGACCATAATTGTGCCGGGCTTCTCGTGTATTAGCATTTGACGTTTGGTTAACTGCCAACGGCAGTTAAATGTGCAGAATTGGATGCTGCAGGATTTTCTTCTGCATAATGCAGGCCTGTTACAGGAAGAGTTTTAAAAGTCCTGGAAAAGTCCTTGCCTCAAATTGGTGTACCGCTTGCTTTGAACAAGCGTTGTATGCTGATAGAGCACTAACTTATTTCTCGATCAAGGAAAAAGCTATAAGCTGGCCAATAAAAAAAAAAAACCAACCCAAACCTCCAGTTTTTCTAGTAAGTGTTTTCTTAAGAGGTTTCTTAGCTAAAGGGGAAAAGCCACAACGTATAGGTCATTGCATAGCCTTATTTATAGAATTCTAAAAGCTTCTTTACGTCCTTGCTGAGATGTACAAACTACTGTAATTCATGGATATTGTCTCTGCATTCAGCAATTCAGAAAGTACTTCTGTTGCTTTTATTGGCCTAGACTTTTCTGCTGGTTTTTTTTTTTTTTCCTAGCTGACCTTTTTAGGATTTGTTACAGGCATCCAGCATTAATATAGCTTAAAACAGCTTTAGCACAAATTCTTTAGGTGTATAATGAGTACTGACCTGCACCTTCTTTTCAAAGCTGACAAATGCTAACCTTGGGTTTTACAGTAGCCAATGAGGCTAGTTTTCTATACATTCAGCTTTTGAAAAGTTTTAAATCCATCCTAATGATGCACGTTCTAATCTTACTTTGATATTTGTAGCTCTTAAAGCAAAATCTCTTACTGTTGAGGAGTGTTCTTTTAAATCTCTGCTAAACGCATTAAAAACTCTTAAAGAAGAACCTGGGCTGTCTGTTTCTTCCGTTGGCTAACTCTACCCTAATACACATTGGGACCAGCTGGTAGAACATGCTGCAGAACTTTTTACTTATCCTCGTAGGTTTTTCCTGTGCTTTGACAAGAGTTGATGCTCCTCCTTTCTTTCTTATGTTTTTATTAAACATTCTTACAGAACAATTGTACTTGGTCACATTTTATATTAACAATGTTTTAATAAAGTCACTTTCAATAGAACATGCAAGGCTTTTGTACTGCTCTTATTTATTGTCCCTCACACTCTGCTTTCCTCTATGTCACAAGTAGGATCTACACCTCAACACATAGTAGAATCAAATAGTTCACAAGGAGCATCTATATCTGACCTCCAGCCATCCTGGGGAGGCTTGGCAGCACCCTCTGGAGTCAGTGACTGAAGTGGGAACTGCTCACAACGCGTATTTGCAGCCTTGAACCAGTAATTCCCCAGTGCTATGGAACATTGTCCAAAGGATGCAGAGCTGAGGCCGAAATTATTCCATCCTAATGGAGCAAAGAAGGGAATCCCATAGTCAGCTCATCCCTCCCCTTCAGCAGACCCTATATTCCCCAAGGCTCTAGTAATCTATCTGACTATTGGAGAAACCAATGCCTGTACAGCCAGTCCAAGTAGAACAGAGCTTTAATGCCTTCAGGATGAGGACAAAATAACACGTTATTCCTAGGGCAGAGCAGCTTCCCCCATTCAGTCTTCCCCAGGGCTTGAGGGGATGTTTTTTTTTTGTCTCCTGGCTAATTATACAAGCTGGCGGACCATGCTGTGAGAGCAGGACATAGCCCCGAGCCCTTCACCCACAACTCTGACTGCAATAAAGGGCAGCTCTAGCCTGGGCTTAACGACAGCATGGCCAGGGCCTAGGAGTTATAGGGAGCCACAAGGACACCCAGATCCCCGTTCTACTTCAGGGTATGGAGCACCTTTTTCTGGGGGCTTTGCTCCTTCCCTTTCTCCTCCTCGCTTTTTGAAGCTAAGATGCCAAAGGACAGGCCACAGTTCATCCTGCTCCTCACTGGCAGCTTCATTTTCTTGCTAGGACGAAGTGCATGCACTCAGCAGGGTAAGGGTACCTGTTCGTAGGACAGCAGGCTGCCGTGGTGGACAACCTCTTTGCCCATTTTCCCCCGGCCGGCTTGGCGGAAGCCTCGCAGCCACGTGTCTCCACTCACAGCACATCATTACTTCTAAAGCTTTTCATTTTTCTTTAAGCAGCACTCTGGGTTTTACTCTGAATGTCCTGCGGGGTAAGAGATTTCATTAAGCAACCTCTAAATCATAGCAGTTATCAGCTCTGCTGCTTAATGGCTGTGAAACTTGGACTGTATTTTGGAGCAAAGATACAGGGTAAAATATGCTGGGCAGATCAGTATTTTACTGGGATGCCAACAAGTCAAAAACACATGTAGCTGCTCTGAAAATAGCACACTGCAATTTTCCTGTAATGCTCGTCTGTAAAAAGAATGAACAAATGAAAAAAAGGGGAGGGAAGGAGAAAAGTTTTCTCTGCTTTTTGCGTGGTTCCAAACGATTTCAGTAACTGATCGGAGGGTTACACGAGGGCCTGACCTCAGCCCTAACTTCCCTTCTTACCAAAAAGTGGCAAGAGTGCCAGTGACCCTGGCTATGCCTCTCCTGGCTTTGTGTTCTGAAGTCAGATAATCAGAGTGAAGGAAGCTTTTGAAAATTTCCCCTTTACAGCTAGCTAGATACAAAGTATTTTGTAGTGATTGTTTTTGTTGCTGTAACATGCTGGCTGCTATGCAAAGATGCAATGGAATACAGCTTCCTAATCAAGACGAGAGGACAGAAAGGTGAGAGAAACAAGAAAAAAGTTAGTGGGGGGGAGGTGGAGAAAATTCACCAGGTTGGGTTCTCTATAACATGACATTTCCCAGCTACGTGAGCTGAAGTATTGGCTCCATTTATCTTGGTGGCAAAATTTATTTTGACTTGTAGGAAGCCTGGACTTCATTACAGCTGTTTGTTAAAGGGTTGACTGAGCATCTTGCTATCCTTGCCTCATTTTTCAGAGTTTACATCTGCCAAGAAGCGAATGTCCAGTGCCTGCTTTTGAACTTGTGTTCAAGAAACACTGCTCTGGCCCATGCATTGCACTGAACCTTTTTGCTTTCGCTTGCTTGTTTGGCAGCAGCTCTGTTCCTCCAGAGCAGAGAATGGCTGCAAATACATGTGGCCAGTAATTACAGCTTATTTTCCCTTCCCCATCCTGGAGAAACTGAGCCACTGCTGGTGAGTTAGGGCAGCTGCCACCAGTGTAACATAAGTGCAGCCAGCAGCCAGAGCCTTTTGAAAAATCTGAGCTGCTGCGAGCTCGAAGGATACTCTGGGGAACTGCTCCACAAATGCTTTTTAACCCTTCAGCAAATCCTCATGATCTGTAGTCTGAGGCACACTGAGCTGGGTTCCAGAAATTGACTCTGACCCAAGTTATAGCAGAAGATCGGAGAGGTGAGACTTTCTTGATTTGCTGCCCTGCCAAGGCAGGAATATTGCTTATTGCGTGTCCTCAGTTTTGTCCTCACTGGCTCTCATCTCACCGAGAGAGTGGAAGTTCTGTCCCTTGAAAGTCATTCAGTGTCTTTCAGAAAGTCATTCAGAAGCACGTAAAGTTGCAAGACATTTTAATACCGTAGCTACCTGTCACATACTTGCTTTCCTTGAGGCTCACCTGGCATATTACATTTCCTGCAGATCCTGCCTGCATTTCCTTCATAAACCACCAAAAGGAGTTGAGGGAGGGGAAAAAATCCCGGATCAAACCATTCTGAGTGCCTCACCTTTGGTCAAGTTGTACCGTATTTCTACCACCAGCCTTGACTCAAGCTTGAGATCAGCAGGCTAATTTTGAAATGAACTCAGCTGATTATGTGGAAACCCTGCAACAGCCTTGAGGAAGCTCCTCATCCCTAAAATTTTACCAGTGAAAAGTGTACAAAGGACTACAACAAAGGTTTGCAAAGAGCAAAGTTTGCTCCGTGATGGTCCTATCCCCCAGCCATTCCAATCCAGTCCTGGCTGGGAACGTGCAAAACTTGCTTATGACTTACACGAATAAATGTCGACCCTGTAGCTTTACACAGTCCCTGGTCGCTGAGGCGTCAGGCACCGCTCAGGCAGGACTGGCGTTTGCCCCCGCCCGCCTGCGAGGCAGGAACGGGCCCAAGCTCAAACCAAGGAGCCTGTGCCCGAGAAAGGCACCCAGCCAGGTCCCTCAAACCTACGGCCGCTGCTCCAGCGACCAGCGCCTCTCTCCCAGCCCAGACCACCTGGTTTCCCCACAGACAGCTAGCCGTTTTGTATTATCCGGGCTCTTCTGGGGCTTTGTGGTGTTGACAGAGCAGGAGCTGGGAGCTGGGCACCGTGCGTGCTAACTCGCCTGCTCTGGTACGTGCGGCAGGACACAGCAGCAGGGTTTGTTGTTACCAAAGTAGCTTAACGGAGGGCCCTCTGCCAGGACAGGACTATTTCCTCTCGAGGCTTTTAGCTGTCATTACCGTGTAACCCGGGCACCGGGGCCGAGCAGCAACAAACCTTCTCTGTTTTAGCATAGGACCTCGTGACCCTCAGCATAGAAAAGGACTTCCGTCTTCAGCTACTCTCTGCCCACTCCGCTTTTTTTTCTTCCTGACAAACCCGTTCGCCCCTCGAGCAAACACCCCAGTAGCCAGATCACATAAAGGATTTCTCAGTTATGGAAAAGTCTGTCCTAAAACATTTGGTTTAAAACTTCCTGTGCAAGCTTCTCAGGCACGCTTTTAGAATCAGGCACAAAACGTGTTTGCAAAGAATAGCCATTATGAGACTGTCAGCTTTTTGTGGCCTTTAAAACAAATATATTACTTCCACCTCTCTCCGTCTCTTTTTCCCTGCTGAAGAAGGCAGAGATGGTACTCAGTGCAGAGCCACCCCTTGGTCTCTCTGCTGGCACCAGCCTGGGGATGGGCAGGAGGACGGCAAGGTCAGCAGCCTCGTAGTGCCCTTCAGTTGTGCCTGAGCACAACTGTTTTCTCACTAGCTACAACATCCAAATTGGGAGTAGTTCTCTGAAGCTACAAGGCTCGCACCAGTTTAGAGCCAGAAAAGAAGATGGAGAAAATAGGTTGGGATGGTGACGTCCTTGTAAGAGAAGCTGCACGATGATAAGTGATAGAATAAGGGATGGCTTTTGGGTCTAGTTTCACAGATTTTATCCAGTAGACAGTGACTACAGTCACAGAGGGCTTCAACCGACATGTAAAAATCAAAATCTTGACTCCTTTTAACTGTACAGATTCAGTTAATACCCATAAAAGCAGCAGGACTGAATTCTTCATCATTTATTTTCAATTAGTCCCACAGGGCACGACTTTTTCCTAGAAATTCCATCAGCATTTACTGTTAAGTTCACTGCAAAGCACTTCTGTTTGTAATTATATAGCCCTTATAATGCTTCCTCAGGCACTATCCTAGTATGGAAAAAATGAGCATAGGACGTGGATGGATAAAAAAGAAAGCTATTAATTCCAGCACCAACAATAATAAAGACCATTATACTTACAAACAGATCTGTCTCCCTAACCCAGCCTAAACAGCTGACTTTGAGTGTTTTCACAGGAATGTTCTAAGTATGATAAAAATGGCTTTATCTATGGTAGCTAATTTTAGATAGCATTTTTGGCCAGGCAGTAGAAAGACTTAAGAAATTATTAAACTTCCATTTAAAAAAATATTTTTGTAGGACGCATTGCATCTAGTATTTCATAACTGTTCCCTTCAGGATGTCCATCATGCATGAAGTTCTGAACTGGCTATTTCAGCATGTGCTACCACGCACATCCACCAGCGTGTAGCCAGCATGTTATAACTGGAAGTTACGAGCATTTCTGTAAGGCTACCAACCTACAGACCATGACCAAGTCAGACTTCTCACTCACCGGCTACTCAAAGGACACGTGGTCCAGTCCAGCCCAGCCTGACAAGCAGCCGACTTAAAACACACTGCATGGAGGGGGAAAACACATTTGCCGGCATCTCCTGAAAGGCTTACAGAGATGATTACTGCGATGTCGCAGCCTCCAGGGCAGAACCGTACCCACCTGACAACACTTCTTCTACTTCTGTGTATGTTAAATTTCAATAGCCTTTTTCACCCTGCTTCTCAGCTCCACTGCGAGCATGTTTCTACTCTGAGCAAGACCAGCGGGCAC